ATTGACACATGAAAAGCTCTTGATCAATGATCATCCTCCTTTAGTCTGGTCCCTTGGGACCCACATCAAGAGTAAGGATAATAATAGAAGTGAAAGAATATGTGGTACATGTACTTTTGAGATGGGCTGTTAACTGCTGTTGATCCAGGCTTAAAAACGCAGTATTACAGATCTGAGTTCACTGGAGCAGAGGCTTCTGACTCTTGACTCCATGTCCTCTTTCTTGATGCTTCAGGGCGCTTAGGTGTAGTGGCATGGCGTTCATCAAGATTAGATGCTCTCAATCTGTTGTAACAGTCATGATCATCTGGACTGTGCTGTAGTTCTGACTCTTCCTCTTGAAACATCGAGACTACACGTGTGGGTGGGTGCACCATATAGGTTATTAAAAACACACCCATTTACTACCATGGCTGTTGATGTTTAAACAGGTCAAAGAAGGTGCTAAACAAACTGTGAAAGACTTCTACGCGCACATATCACTAGCAGCATAGGGCAGTTAGACACTCTCCCCTCCTCCTTATCCACTCTTGTTAGTACCATTCTTTATACAATAATACACATAGACTAATCATAGTGTGAAGATTACATTTATTGGGGCGAGCCTGAGCTCGCCCCACATAAACGACACAAGTATGTTTGTTTGTACACGTACGTCACCCCTATTTATCCGTATGAAAAAATTTCCACTTTTTATTAAACTTGATAATCTTCATTGAGAACGGGTGTGGTCACAATGAAGTAAAATGGCGGCTCAGTATCAAAACTGGAAATTCTTGCAAGTTGCAAGACTGATTAGACTGTACTGATGTCAAAATGCAGCAGCAAGGAAGGTTAAGAAAGCAGACATGCCATGTTCTTCATTGATGTCAATAACTCTGATGGAGTGAATGTCAGTCACAGCCAGAGACAGTCTGCTGAACTAACTTGGAGCAGGCAAGAAACTGCTACAGTTGCCTATCTAGCCATATTATTTGTGCCGTCAATGACTGCTTGTAGCTATTTTTAATGCTTGCTAAATGCTATAAGCAAGGTAACTTTAATTTTTGCAGAGACCATAATGGTAGATCATCAAGAACTACATCCATCAAGTTCTGAGCCTGCCGCTTTTGCACAGTCGTCATCATGCATGAGTATTGTTAGTCTATCAAGATCTATTGCATGTACATTGCTTTGCTTGCGTAGGCTCGCCCCTTCAATGTTCTACATTCGTCTAGTACTATTATTTTTATTGACATTCTACATTATTGTAATTGCACACGCACAGAGAGATGTACTTGTACTGTATAGCGGGAAATTTAGTAGAGGTAAAATTTGGCAATTTTGGTGATTGGTGGATTTTAATTTGGCACATTTGTGGCCACGTGCCATTGAGCATGTGCATAATGACTGAAAACGGCGGATTTTAATTTTGGAGATTGGCTATCAAAACCCCAATTTGCCAAATTTAATTCCCTCCAAAATTTCCCGCTATACCGTACATGCATGATTTATTGAGTCGAAAATTAAAAAAAGTTTGAGGCGATGAAATAAACCAGCTGTAGGCTAATCTGTTATAACAGGTGGACTGTTGTATAAACTAATTTGAACCCTTTGAATATACTCAAGCCTTATATGGTGGTGTCTCCAAGGCAACTAATGTGATAACAGTGCGACCCACAATTGCCTGGTTATGTTTTTACTGTTTAAAAGGAAGAGCTTTTGGGCTTACTTCATATCACAGGATTTTGTACTGATCCTCCAAATATTACAAAATTTTTGAATGGACGTAAAGTCCTGTTGTGTTATTGTTTAGACTTTAGAGTCTTAAATTTGATTATTTCCAATTTTTAAATTTTTGAAACAAAAATTGATAGTAATGTGTAGCTGTGTACTATTTTTATACAGTTTGTGTATTATTGTATAGCGGGAAACTTTGGAGGGAGTTAAATTTGGCGAATTGCCAAAATTTTGTGATTGACAAATTTTAATTTGGTGAATTAGTGGCCATGTACCATTGAGCATGCGTATAATGGCTCAAAATGGTGGATTTTATTTTGGTGAATGGCTATCAAAACGCCGAATTCACCAAATTTAATTCCCTCCCAAAATCCCTCTATCTGGTCAATTATTTGGTAGTGAGACATTGTGAAAGGAAAAGGAAGTCTCGCATTTGCCTTGTGCTAAAACTTACTTGTACATGTACACCTTGATTACATTAATGATTGATTAAACAGTATTTACGTTCAGTGTGTATACCCATGGTTTTGTATTTGGTAAAGTAACACCAACTTAATTTTAGTAAATTTTAAAATTCTAAAATTATGTGTGACTTTGACATATTTTAATGTTAATAAAATGCATTGAAAATTGGCACAAGCTACATCTAAAGGCTAGTTCACAATATGACATTAAGCCAGTTTAACGTCAATTTTTAATCAAAAGCGTGGGCGATTTGACCTTTTGATGCATACTTTCTGCTAGTATAGAACCAGATTCTATTCCAGTGTCAATGTAACGTCAGGACTAGCGTAATATTATTAACAGCCTTAAATTTAATAATAATTAATAAATTAATAAAGGCAGTTTTTTAATAATAATGAGCATTCCTTCTTTGTCATGATAAGGTCCACATGTATCATGTAGTGTAGATTGATTAATGATATTCACGCATTATCACTAAGGCAACCAGTGTAAAAACAGTACGCCCCACTAGTGCCTGGTACAAATTATCCTCTATAAATAGAAGCTATAGACAGGAGAGGGTTTGAATCCTTATATGCAACTGATGAATAGAAAAATTTTTGAAAGGACTTAAAAGCCCTGTTTATGTTTACTTGATATTGATGATTGATAGTTATTCAGTATCAATTTATGGCTGAATATACTGTACATATGTGCTGTTATTGATCTAGAGGGTGTTTAATCTTTGGTCTGTGTCTCCTGAAATCTCCACTTTTAGTACCTGATATTTAACCTTTAGTATGTAGCTACTGAAGTTTTTCACACATATTGCTCTCAATTTTAATAACAGCACTGTCTCCCATTTTTATTTAAATTTATTCCTATAAATCTAGCAATGTACGTGTACGTGTATCAATTGTGTTAAAATTAAGATATTGTTTCTTATCTAATAGGAGCCAATCCCTCAATAGAAGACAGTATGGGTCGGACCCCTATTAATTACTGCACTAACGAGTCAGTAAGAAAACTATTGGAGAAATATTCAGTTAAAGTGAGTGAAGAACTAACATGAAATATTTGGTCATTATTATCAAACTTGGATTGATTAGTAATTATAGTTTATTTATCATGTACATGTAGTCCTTTAATTATAGAATTTTTTATTTTTCAAGTAATTTTTTGAGATTAGAATTCCAAAAAATGCTCTTCAGCTCAACTTGAATTAATTATTAAAAAAATTTTTATTGGCTAATCAGATTAATTTTTGTCAATGTTTACAGTTTGAGGAGAATGAGTTAAGGAAGAGACTGGAGGAAAGAAGGAAATATCCGCTGGAGGACAGACTAAGGAATCATCTAGTCGGCCAAGAAGGGGCCATCACTACTGTAGCATCAGGTTAAATATAATAATATCATTATTTATTATTATTTTATGTCTACTTGTGATTGATCAATCAGATTGCTTGAAGTTAGGCTCAAAAATACATGTGTACATGTAACTTACCACCAATTTTCCCGGGAGGTTAATAAGTGGCTCGGGAATTTACTTATCAACCTGCTTAAAAATGCCTGTATTTTGTGAAGTAAATGCTGGTTGTTTTATCATTATTTTTATCTATCATTAGCAATAAGGAGGAGAGAGTTGGGTTGGAATGACACTGATCATCCACTAGTGTTCCTGTTCCTTGGATCCTCTGGAATTGGTAAATGAACAAAACTATAAAATATAAATAAATATAAATATTATAAATTATAAATTATTGTTTTAAAACTATAGGCAAGACAGAATTGGCTAAACAAACTGCTAACTATCTCCACAAAGACAATCCAAAAGTACATGTACATGTACTTAAGCATATAGTATACTATAATGATATGTTTATTATTAATATACTATAATGATATATTTATTATTAATTGTTGTTATCCTCCTGTTATGTATAGGGGTTTATTAGGATTGATATGTCAGAGTATCAGCAAAAACATGAGGTACATAATAGCATTAATCCATGTACATCTATGTATGTATGTATGTGTA